CGACGGGGTGAGCTCCCGTTGCTCGGTCCCTGCTCCTGCCAACCTAGCAGTTCCAAAGCACGTCAAAGTGCAAGTAGATAAATAGGTACCGCTCTGGTGGGAAGGTAAACGCGTTTCTGTGCGCTGCTCTGGTTCGCCAGAAGCGGCTTAGTCATGCTGGCCACATGACCCGAAGCTGTACGCCGGCTCCCTCGGCCAATAAAGCGAGATGAGCACCGCAACCCCTGAGTCGGCCACGACTGGAACTAATGGTCAGGGGTCCCTTTACCTTTACAATCCTGATGCGGAATGAGAAGGGAGTTTGGGGAGGGCCGTAAGCCCTCAAAAAGCACCCAGTCCCACCTTTCTTTGGGAGCAGCAGGAGGAAAAAATGTCTTGTCTTCTAGCCTTGCTGCCTGAAGAGGTGGCTGAATCATTGTGGGGGAGAGGGTGGCTGCTGGTGGCTGAGGCCTCTCTCTTTTGTTGCAGACGCTCACCGGAAAAGAGATTGAGATTGACATAGAACCCACAGACAAGGTACCTCGGGGAAACAAACTTGGCGGGTGGGGTGGTGGTGATGATAGCAGTGCCCTGCACCTACCAGGGGATCACCCGCTGGTTTTTCCATATGGAGAGAGACATATTATTTGCCCTGGTGTGTGGGGCTGGTTTGCGTCGCTGTGGGTCCTGCCCAGCCCCTCACACCAAGGCAAACAACAAGGCTCTTCCTCAAGTCCAGTTTTGCAGAACTAGCTGAGATCAAACAGGCCCACTCCCTGTTGAACTTCCAGTGCTGGTGAAACTGGCATTTTAACCCCGATCTTGGGTTCCTTTTTGCGATGTATGCTATATCCCCGCTGTACACCACTTAGAAACTGTGGCATTAAGTGGTACGTAAATTATACTCTGAAGATGAATGGATCGATCCAATTGTGGAGGGAAAGGGGGTTGGTCAGTTGGTACCCATGTCCTCTTTCTTCTGGCCCCCGCCCACCCAGGCGTGGCCTGTTATCAGTCTGGCCAGGTGGTGGAGCTATTCCTCCTCTGCCCTCTTGCCCTCAGATAGTGGGCAATAAGACATGTTTGCCAAGGGCGTCCCTCCGTCTCCTGAAAGGGCAGCCAGGACTTTTCTGGGCAAGCGTAACATCTCCTTCATCAGCCGGCCTACTGAACCACGATGCCAGTCCGCCTCCCAGTCCCATTGGTCCATGTGAGAAACATTTGAGAGGTTCATCAGATCCTTCTGGGCCACATTCAGGAGCTTTTGCGGCAGAGGCCACAAGGACATGGCTGTCAACTTTTCCCTTTTCTTGCGAGGAATCCTATTCAGAATAAGGGAATTTCCCTTGAAAAAGGGAAATGTTGACAGCTATGCAAGGATGGGGAGGCCATATGCTCAGATGTTGCCCTTTGTGACAGCAAAAACGGATTGAAAGAGTCAAGGCCGTTTCCCCCCCTGGGAAATGAGTTTTCCCTCCGTCAGCCTTGCCCACTAGTGTTGATGTGAGGTTTGCAGCTAAAAACTGCTCTGGATAGACTGTGACCCTTTTCTGTTCTCCTCTCTCTCTCTCTCTCTGCCCCTCTGCCCTCCTTCCCCCCCAGGTGGAGAGAATAAAGGAGCGAGTGGAAGAAAAAGAGGGAATCCGCCCACAACAACAGCGACTCATCTACAGCGGCAAGCAGATGTGAGTCCACCGGGCAGCGGTGGCTGCTTCCCAGTGTATTGTGGGGAAAGCCTGGCTCTTGTAGTGCTGCTAGGGTGGAAGCAGAGGCTGCCCTAGGGCATTGTGGGATAATGTTTTATAGGGCGGTGGTCCGCTGGTCTCATCAGGCCAAGCCACAAACACCCGGCCTACAGGTATGGGGCTGGTGAAAACCTGGCTTAGCCGTGGCAGGGGTTGCAAGCTTGGAAAACGCAGGGCAAAGTGCTACAGTGCTTTTGGAAAGGCATGGCAATAATAATATTAATAATAATAATAATAATAATATATTTATACCCCAGCCAGAGCCGGGCTCAGGGCGGCTAACACCAATAAATTACAATAAAATGGGGCGGGGAGACAAACAAAAACCAGTTTATTAAAAGACAGGTTAAAATACCATTTAAAATGCAGCCTCATTTCAATAGGTAAAGGTAAAGGTACCCCTGCCCGTACGGGCCAGTCTTGCCAGACTCTAGGGTTGTGCGCCCATCTCGCTTAAGAGGCCGGGGGCCAGCGCTGTCCGGAGACACTTCCGGGTCACGTGGCCAGCGTGACATCGCTGCTCTGGCGAGCCAGAGCCGCACACGGAAACGCCGTTTACCTTTCCGCTGGTAAGCGGTCCCTATTTATCTACTTGCACTTATGGGTGCTTTTGAACTGCTAGGTTGGCAGGCGCTGGGACCGAACGACGGGAGCGCACCCCGCCGCAGGGATTCGAGCCGCTGACCTTTCGATCGGCAAGCCCTAGGTGCTGAGGCTTTTACCCACAGCGCCACCCGCGTCCCTCTCATTTCAATAGTAGCCCATAAATCAAAACCTTAAGGGAGGGAAACATAAGGCTCAGACTGAGTCCAAACCAAAGGCCAGGCGGAACAGCTCTGTCTTCCAGGCGGAAAGATGCAAGGCCCAGCTGATTTGTCAGCCCCTTTCAAAACGTTGCAGAGCGCTTTGCAAAGCATTTTACAAGGCTAGCATGTGACAGAAAAGTCACCTGATGCTATTGTGGCATCAGGTGATTGGCAGGTGGTGGCCCCACGAGGGGTGGAGGAGATAATGATGTGGCCCACCGGCATTTCTGTGCTGCCGTTCCATTGAAAAAAACACCCCCAAAGGTAGATAGCGACAATAACAGCTGCAATATTTTATATATTAGATGTATATTATTTTTTTAAAAGCAATATTGCAAGAATGCTATATGAGCATGAGGGGGTAAGAGCAGAGAGAGAAAAGCCAGTTTAGAAACATAATTTCATTCAAAAGGCATATTTAAACACAATAGCAGCAGAAGGAGCAGTTGAGGTCAAGTTAGCCAAACACCTGCTTTAAATGAAAACGGTTTTCCCTACTAGAAGAGGGTCATCAAGAAGAGTGCTTCCCTCAGCAGGACGTTCCAAAGTTTGGGACCAGCCACGTCACTTGAAATTCCTGCACTGCAGGGGGTCAGACTAGATGACCCTTGAGGTCCATTCCAACTTTACGATTCTGCAAAAGCCCTTCTTCACGTCCCTGCCAAACACGTTCCATATATCAGTGGGAGAGAGACAAAATTAATAATAATAATAATAAATGTTTATTTGTATCCCGGCCGAGACCGGGCTCAGAGCGGCTAACATCATAAAAACAACACAATATGCATAAAAGCAGACATCAATTACAGTGGTACCTCGGGTTAAGAACTTAATTCGTTCTGGAGGTCCGTTCTTAACCTGAAACTGTTCTTAACCTGAAGCACCACTTTAGCTACAGGGGCCTCCTGCTGCCGCCGCTCCGCCAGAGCACGATTTCTGTTCTCATCCTGAAGCAAAGTTCTTAACCCGAGGTAATATTTCTGGGTTAGCGGAGTCTGTAACCTGAAGCGTATGTAACCTGAGGTACCAATGTAATTAAAATACATCTTAAAATTAATTCAGACAAGTTAAAATTGGGCAGGTGGCAGTTATCAGGTTGGAGTTGAGAGTGGTTAATACTTTCCAGGACCAACTGTTTACACTGATGCTACAAGGACCTGTGGGTGAGTTGAGGGCCACCTTTGGGCTTGTTTTATACAAAGGAAAGTAAATCAAACTGCATGCTGCCCAAAGGCCTGGCGGAACAGCTCCGTCTTGCAGGCCCTGTGGAAAGACGTCAAATCCCGCATTGTCTCCAGATAGTCTCTGGAAGTTACAAGCGCCCCTGGTCACCTCAGGAGGACAGTTGCAATGTACCTGGGTGTATTCTGTGGCCGGTTGCTCGACTACACAATACATCCGTGAAGACCTTATCCCAGCCTTTGCAAATCTGGAGCCCTCCAGAGATTTGGCAAGTCTGTTGTAGGGGAACGCTGGGAAAGGAAATTATCTTGTGCAAAAATGTTTGCCTCAGTTAATAACGAATGAAATAACATTATTATGGGCCAAGCCCATTTGCTTTCTTCAACGATATCTTATTGTTGGGGTATGAGCAGGGTAAAAATATTATTATTACAATGGTACCTTGGTTTACGAACTTAATCCGTTCTGGAAGTCCGTTCTTAAACCAAAGCGTTCTTAAACCAGGGCGTGCTTTCCCATAGCAGTGGGGGACTCAATTTACAAATGGAACACACTCAACAGGAAGCGAAACATGTTCTTATTCCAAAGCAAAGTTCACAAACCGAAACACCTACTTCCGGGTTTGCAGCGTTCTTAATCCAAGTTGTTCATAAACTGAGCTGTTCTTAAACCAAGCTACCACTGTACTACTGCTTGGGAAGTGACAGCCATAATGTGTCGTGCTGTATTACATGCCAGTCTAGAACCCCAGCCCCTGGGCTTATGGGAGTTGTAGTCCAGAACATTTGTAGGACTCCAGCTTGGCCCTGGGCGCTCTAACCACTCCTGCCTTCTGCTCTTCCCAGGAACGACGAGAAAACGGCCGCTGACTACAAGATCCAGGGCGGCTCTGTGCTCCATTTGGTCTTGGCGCTACGAGGGGGAGGCCTGCGATGATGGCGCACCCGTCCCTCAGCACGTCCCCCTCTCCCTCCCCCCCTCCCCACAAAGGACAGATCTGCCGTTTGCGTGTTGGACACCGCCAGGCTGCGCATAGTTACCCTCCCAAACCCTTTCTTCCTCCCGGATCCAGGAAGAAAATGGCCGCCGCTGCCGCCCACCACTCCGGAGATCTTCCGCAAGCTGTCATTTGAGGGAGGTGCCATTTAGCAGGGGCATTGCGGGGGGGGAGTCCATGGTTTGTTGCCTTCCTGGGGGATCCCGCATCCCGCCGGCCCCGATCCTCATGCATTTCCACCCCGGCGACTTCTCAAGTGTTGCCTATGCTCGTTGGCTGTGTTTTGCCTCCCCTCGTTCAAATGTCCTTCTCCCTGCCCACTCCCCCTTCCCGCAGTTGAAATGGCTGAATGTTAAATAAAGGTGTTTCACGTGGTTTCTCGAGTTGCAGGCTCGTGACTGTGTTCGACTCTGCTTACGATGTGCCTTTCTCACTGGGGTATTCGGGATCCTCAAGTCAAAAGTGGCTCAAAAGGCACTTCCTTTCCTCTGGGATCTATAGCACATGGGTAGGCAAACTAAGGCCCGGGGGCCGGATCTGGCCCAATCGCCTTCTAAATCTAGCCCATGGGCAGTCCAGGAATCAGCATGTTTTTACATGAGTAGAATGTGTCCTTTTCTTTAAAATGCATCTCTGGGTTATTTGTGGGGCATAGGAATTCGTTCATTGTTATTTTTCAAAATATAGTGCGGCCCCCCACAATGTCTGAAGGACAGTGGACTGGCCCCCTGCTGAAAAAGTTTGCTGACCCCTGCTATAGCATGTATGTTTGTACAGTGGTGCCCCGCAAGACGAATTCCTCGCAAAACGAAAAACTCGCTAGACGAAAGGGTTTTCCGGTTTTTGAGTCGTTCCACAAGACGAATTTCCCTATGGGCTTGCTTCGCAAGACGAAACGTCTTGCGAGTTCTTGCGAGTTTGTTTCCTTTTTCTTAAAGCCGCTAAGCCGTTAATAGCAGCTAAGCCGTTAATAGCCGCTAAGCTGCTAAGATCCGCTAAGCCGTTAATAGCCGCTAAGAGCCGTGCTTCGCAAGACGAAAAAACCGCAAGACGAAGAGACTCGCGGAACGGATTAATTTCGTCTTGCGAGGCACCACTGTACAGTGGTACTTCGGGTTACATACGCTTCAGGTTACAGACTCCGCTAACCCAGGAATAGTGCTTCAGGTTAAGAACTTTGCTTCAAGTTGAGAACAGAAATCGTGCTCTGGCAGTGGGAGGCCCCATTAGCTAAAGTTGTGCTTCAGGTTAAGAACAGTTTCAGGTTAAGAACGGAGCTCTGGAACAAAGTAAGTACTTAACCCGAGGTACCACTGTATATGTATGCATAGGGAAACAAGGGCTAACAGAGCTGCTGTTCCCAGATTTTTTTGCGGCAGGAACCATGACAGTAGTGGATTTTCTTCAGTTAACCCCTCCCATTGCAATGTTTAAGGCGGCTTTATTGGCTCAGAACCACAGCGGGCCAAATAAATGTGGAGTCTGCCTGGCTATTAAGTATTAACACAGGCTTATAGAGAGACATTCCTTCGCCTCGGCTTTACACAGGCGTAGAAATTAAATTTCAGACGGAAAGCAGGGCTCCGTTAACAGAGCTGGATGCCTGACTCGGCGGGAAGAGTTTCTGCTACCTCTCTAACCCGTGGCGGAGCTTTCCTGTGCAAACATTCCTTGTACAGTCTGAGTAAGCGGATTCTCCTAGCAAAATCCTTCCGCAACAGCCTCTTTTTACATCTCTTCACACGTGCACTGCCTGTCCGTGTATACATCAGGACGTTCCCCCACTACATCATTTATACAAAAGGACGATGTTGGAAGGAGAGTGAGCTCCCCAAATGTTCATTTCATGTCGTGAAATTTCTGGGGTTTGTGAAGGTTTTTGCCTTATTGGGATGAGAGAAAGCACTGGCGCCAGGGAGCTTGACTGCAGATCCTTGCTGTGTGACTTGATGTCGACCCAGGGGTAGCCAATGGCATTGCCTCTGGGTGTTGAACTACAACTCCCATCATCCCTGGCCATTGGCCGTTCTGCCTGGGCGCATGAGAGTTGGGAGTCCAACATCCAGACAGCACCACGTTGGCGCTCCCTGCCATAGGTAAAGGTAAAGGGACCCCTGACCGTTAGGTTCAGTCGTGACCGACTCGGGTTGTGGCACTCATCTCGCTTTATTGGCCGAGGGAGCCGGCGTACAGCTTTCGGGTCATGTGGCCAGCAGGACTAAGCCGCTTCTGGCGAACCAGAGCAGCGCACGGAAACGCCGTTTACCTTCCTGCCGGACCTATTGATCTACTTGCACTTTGACGTGCTTTCGAACTGCTTGGTTGGCAGGAGCTGGGACCGAGCAACGGGAGCTCACCCTGTTGTGGGCATTCGAACTGCCAACCTTCTGATCGGCAAGTCCTAGGCTCTGTGGTTTAACCCACAGCGCCACCTGCGTCCCTCCGCTCCCTGCCATAGGCTGCGCCAAACTGCACCCTGTTTCCTCAAAACACTTTGTGTCTTAAACACAGGAGATGCCACATGGAAGATGTCACAGCTTGTTCCCAGAAATCAGCTGGGTTGACTGGTCCTGTACAATCCTAAATAGGTCTGCCCCACTCTTCCTCTGACATCTGAGGTTCATAGCTCTGGATGACTTTCTGAGACAGAGCTCTTCTTAACACTGTATCTAGCAAATCTGGATGCCACAGATGTATTTATTTAGGTGGTTTTAAGGCAAACTTCTATGTTTTCAAGAAAACCGCTCCGGCAGTTTATGACGTCCTAAAAACAGCTTGAAAGCCAAATATAAAACCTGCAGTAAAAAAATTCTTAAATCACTTCTGATATTCTGCTCTGTCCCCTTTAATCCCAACAGAAAGATCATTGTCGCATTATTTAAAGAGGTGCCTGAATTAGAAAAAAATATTTAGAGGTGCCCAAAATCAAACTAAATAGCACCCAAACTAGAATGTTATATAGCACCCAGATTTACATTTTGTTTAAAGAGGTGCCCAAGTTTTAAATATATATTTATACAGAGCCCAAATTAACATTTTATATATTGCACCGAAATAATAATCCTTTAAAGAACAGCTGCAATCAGAATTTTATTCAAAGCGTGCGCAAAATTATTATTTATTTCATGTCTATACCGCTTTATATTTTAAAGAAAAAATCCCAAAGCAGTTTACAGCATATTATTAAAACTTCAATAAAACAATCCAGAATCAAACATTTCTGAAGCAAATCAAATATAGAGTATACAGCCAAAGCAACATAATTAACAGAAAACTAAAATATTACCTTAAAGGATTTCAAAATAAAACATTACAAAGGAGGTCAACTACAGAAGACATGTTTGGAACAAAAACAAATCTTTAACATTTCAAAAGGAAAAAAGAAACATGGCTAAATGAAGTCAAATATAACATACGCATTTAAAGAAGCATCATTAACAAAAGAAGAAAATATGATCGTAAGCATGACAAAAATCTACCATCCTCGCCTTTCCCTCGCTGCCAATTCCTGCAACAATCACAGCCCATCCTTTTTTAAATATAAAAGGGGAAAAGCCCTGCTGTGTTGGCAATCTCCTGCCCTCGCCACAACCCCCCGGGACTGAAGGGGTTAACCCGGGGGCGGCCCTGGACCGCTCTCGCAGCCGCTGTTTGCATCTGGAGCTTCCGCAGCAGCAGCAGCAGCACGTGGCTCCTCGGCGATCAAGTGGAAGAGGAAGCGCCCGAGTGACAGGCAGCCTGTCATTCATCCGCCGCCGCCGCCGATCTGCTAGTTCCTGGAGGGCCGGATTCTGCATCTCCCGTTGCTCCTCGCAGGAAGAAAGCGGGGGCCTGATTCGCAGCTCCGCCGGCCCCTGATTGCCTCCTTTTTTTAAAAAAAGAGAGGAGCAAAAGTCTCTTTTTTTCCTAGAGTGCGACCCCTACTTTTCCTGTTTTTGCTTCCTGGAAATAGAAAGGAGATGAGCAAACGGCCGTCGCTGGTTGTGTTTGACTTGGGTAAGTTGCTCCGTCGTTGCTTTGGGGCTCATCCTGTGTGTGTGTGTGTGTGTGTGTGTGTGTGTGTCACCTTGGGCAGAACTTTCCTTCCTTGCACAGGATTGGACTAGATGACCGCCGGGGTCCCTTCCAACTCGACAATTCTATACTCTTGCTTCATAACCTCCTGGAGTATTTCTGCCTGGAAATGTGTCCTTCAACTCTGGTAGTTGCCTAGATGAAGGGATAGCCAGGGGGTGTTGGGGTGGGAATGTAGAAACTAGCTCACTCTACAAAGGTAAAATTCGCACTCGTTGCCCCATCCATTTCTGCCTCCGCCCGCTTTGCACATGTGGCCCCCAGAAAGTTGTCCGGCCCTCGGAGCTTAAAAATTAATATGCAAAAGTTTAAAAGGCGCAAGGAGATAGGATAATAAGGATGGAATAACAAATAAAGTGAATAACGCAACAATAACAAAAATAATTGTTGGTAAAGAAGATCGCACACGGGTGGGCTGTGGGGGAGGAGGTGAAGGGATTAATGGAAATGGTTAAAGATTGGTATAGGATTTAAGAGATTTAAATTTTTATAAAGATTCTGTAAGGAAAGCAGAAAGCAGCAAGAAATATCAGAGAGTAGATCAGTGTAAATGAAAACATGAGACTTGTGGTTCTGTTACATGATTTTATTTTGGAGTTGTCTGTTTATTTTGGCGTTGTTTGTTGTAAAGAATGTCTATTATGTGAATAAAATAATAAAGGAATCAGAAGGTTGTCTGGCCCTCGGGCTGAAGATCCCACCCCCCCCCCCATAGATTCTGCCTTCAACAAGCAGAATTTGTGTAGTAAAAGGAGACAATTTGGGAAGAATGGGAATGAGTGAAGCAGGCGAAAAACATGAAATTTTATGCTTATGTTTTGGGGGTTAGGGGAATTCAAGGTCAACTGATCTCTCTCTTACAGATTACACCCTGTGGCCCTTCTGGGTAGACACCCACGTGGACCCCCCCTTCCAGAAAAGCAGGTGAGATCTTTAGATGAAGGGTGGAATACAAATTTAATAAACAATAATAATAATATGGAGTGTTTATAGGACTGGTAGTGTTTTTCTGCAGCATCTCATTAACCAGGCATAGGCAAACTCGGCCCTCCCGATGTTTTGGGACTACAATTCCCATCATCCCTGACCACTGGTCCTGTTAGCTAGGGATGATGGGAGTTGTAGTCCCAAAACATCTGGAGGGCCGAGTTTGCCTATGCCTGCCATTGACTCACACTAATGTGGCTTTTAATCTGTTTTTGGTTCATTTTCATTTCTCAAAAGTCTTAAATTATTATTGTTAATTCTTCTTGAATTGCATTGTTTTATCTTTTTCGCAAACCTCTTTGAGGGGTTGGTTGTTGGTTTTTTTACAATCAATTTTTACAAATTTTATGAAATAAATAGTGATGGATTTATACTGGGCGATCCGCACACATTGTACCGCTTATTTGATTCCCTGATGCGATTCTTCCCTAAGGTTACCATGTCTTTGTCATCCACATGGGCAACTGTTGTGCTGTAACGCAACGAAAGCGGGGCAAAATAAATACATAAACTAGAACGTTGTTTATATCTCCCTGGTCCTGAATGGGGTACCTGTGCCCCTGAAGGACCAGGTACGCAGCCTGGGAGTCATTCTGGACTCACAGCTGTTCATGGAGGCGCAGGTCAATTCTGTGTCCAGGGCAGCTGTTTATCAGCTCCATCTGGTACGCAGGATGAGACCCTCCCTGCCCGCAGACTGTGTTGCCAGAGTGGTACATGCTCTAGTTATCTCCCGCTTGGACTACTGCAATGCGCTCTACGTGGGGCTACCTTTGAAGGTGACCCGGGAACTGCAACTAATCCAGAATGCGGCAGCTAGACTGGTGACTGGGAGCGGCCGCCAAGACCACATAACACTGATCTTGAAAGACCTACATTGGCTCCCAGTACATTTCCGAGCACAAGTCAAAGTGTTGGTGCTGACCTTGAAAGCCCTAAACGGCCTCAGCCCAGTATACCTGAAGGAGCGTCTCCACCCCCATCGTTCTGCCCGGACACTGAGGTCCAGCTCCGAGGGCCTTCTGGCGGTTCCCTCATTGCGATAAGCAAAGCTAAAGGGAACCAGGCAGAGGGCCTTCTCGGTAGTGGCGCCCGCCCTGTGGAACGCCCTCCCATCAGATGTCAAAGCGATAAACAACTACCTGACATTCAGAAGACATCTTAAGGTAGCCCTCTTCAGGGAAGCTTTTAATGTGTGACATCTTAGTGTTTTTTGGGTCTTTGTGGAAGCCGCCCAGAGTGGCTGGGGAAACTCAGCCAGATGGGCGGGGTACAAATAATAAATTATTATTATTATTATTATTATTATTATTATTATTATTATTATTATATTTTAAATAAGATGCAGGATTCATCAGCAGGTTACGGGGCATGTGCCAATTGGGGTGTCCAAACCCCAAAACAATGTCAAACGGGAGTTCTGTGTCTAACTTCTCTGAAACCATCATGAGCACAAATTGTCACTAATGCACAATACAAAGGGCCTTTTGGGGAGCTGTTTATTCCCCCCACATGGGGAGGAGACCCTGATGTTTGTTTTATGCTTAGAGGACTCTGTGCCCCTAAACGCCATGCAGCAGGCAGGAACCCAACAGGTGAAGCTCTCCTTTGTGTCCTGGGGAAAACTGTGCCTGTTGGATTTCTGCCTGCCATGTTAAAAACACATATACCATTCCGACACTTTTGTTGTTGTTTTAAAGGCAACAAACCTCACAACTCTTTTGTCAATGTTCCCCTCAGCGATGGCTCAATACGAGACCGCAACGGGCGACCCATAAATCTGTACCCCGAGGTGCCGGCTGTGCTGGAGCAGCTGCAAGCGGAGGGGATCCCTATGGCGGCTGCCTCACGGTGAGTCCAGATCCTGCGCCCATCCCTGCAGGCCCCAAACCGCCTCCATTTATTCTGGTTTACTTGGCTTGGCAGCCCTGTTTAGGGAAGTTTTTAATATTTAACATATTTAACTGTTTTTAACATTTGATTGGGAGCTGCCCAGAGTGGCTGGGGAACTCAGCCAGATGGGCGGGGTATAAATAATAAATTATTATTATTATTTTATTATTATTATTATTATTATTATTATTATTAGACTCCATGTCAACAGGGACATCCACACCATGTTTGCTGCTTGCCGACCAACTTAAAGTTCCGTGCTAAAGTTCCGCTGTGTGACTAGTCCCTATGAAGTCTTTTCAAATGTGTCTGTGGGACAGTTTACTGGCTTGCTTTCTTTCTTGTCCTTGATTTCACTTTGCATTTTGTGTTCTCCTTTTGCGCTTCCGTGTTGCGAACTGCCCTGCGATCTTCGGATTGCGGTGCTATTTTCCTAGAAGAAAGAGGAACTCGCCGTGAACGCCTCTCTTACAATGGCAGTGGCACTGACCTGAGAGGTGCCGGAACTTGAGTTCCAGCTGAGAAAAATCCCTGAGCTTACAAATTTAACCTTGTTTGACGATGGGAGACAATGGAAGAATGCACCTTTGGGGGTGAGGTCAAGATGTTGCCTGCTGTTGCTGCAGAGACGATACAGGAGAGACATGTTTTGTTGCAGCCGGGGCAGAGTAAGCCGTCCGGTTGCATCGTGGTACAGTGGTACCTCGGGTTAAGTACTTAATTCATTCCGGAGGTCCATTCTTAACCTGAAACTGTTCTTAACCTGAAGCACCACTTTAGCTAATGGGGCCTCCTGTTGCCGCCACGCCACCAGAGCACAATTTCTGTTCTCATCCTGAAGCAAAAGTTCTTAACCCAAGGTATTATTTCTGGGTTAGCAGAGTTTGTAACCTGAAGCGTATGTAACCCAAGGTACCACTGTATTTCTTCTCTCCGTTCTCCTCCCAGCGTCATTTCTCGCTCAGGTCCCTGCTACGGATGCACGACTTGACTGCCCGTCTCCAGGCACTGCGGTCGTCTGCAAGGGGTATTATTTAATAAACAAGACTTATAAGCGATCTCAAATATGAATCTCTCCACCCCTCCCTCTCTCTTCCTAGGACAGGTGAGATCCGAGGGGCTAATCAGCTGTTGGATCTCTTCGGCCTGAACCGCTTCATCCGCTACGCAGAGATCTACCCGGGCAGCAAAGTCACCCACTTCCAGAAGTAAGGGAAGACCTACATCCCGTTGGTTGGGGGGCAGGTGGCTGTGAAAAGAGGAGCCTGGACAAGCCATTGGCTCTTGTACGCCCTCACAGTGATGTCCCCCAAGTTCTGTCCGTTTCTTGGGCCTAATCCTGCCCGCTGGTTGGTTTATTTGAATTTATTATTATTACAGTCCAGTTCTGGCTCAACTTACAATATCAGGAAAATACACATAAAACACAACAGGAATACATTGAATTGCAATTGGGTTATAACAGAGACAGTTCAGATACAGTGGTACCTCGGGTTTAAGTACTTAATTCGTTCCAGAGGTCCATTCTTATCCTGAACTGTTCTTAACCTGAAACACCACTTTAAGCTAACGGGGCCTCCCTGCTGCTGCTGCGCCGCCGGAGCACGATTTCTGTTCTCATCCTGAAGCAAAGTTCTTAACCGAGGTACTATTTCTGGGTTAGTGGAGTCTTTAACCTGAAGCGTATGTAACCCGAAGGTACCACTGTATAGTGGCAGTTTAAAAATATATATTAAATCTTGATCACTAAAATATAACCTAAAATTGTCATTTAAACCCTAATCATTTGGTAGTACGGTTTAATCCGGCCCTGTTTGTAGTTTATTTCCTGGGGTAAAATCCTAAAAAAAAGCTTCACCAACTTCAGTCATTAAAAAAAAGGTTAACGACTTGGGTTGGGCCCCTTTGTTCTGCCCTCACAGCCCTTCACTATGCATCAAAGTCTGGCCCCCTGTGAAAAAAAGTTTGGACACCACTGACGGTTGGCACGCCATTGCAAGGCTGGTCTATGGGAGCAACGGGACGACGAGTTCTAATTCTCCCCCTCGCTTGCTCCTCCTCAGGTTGTCTCAACAAACCGGGGTTCCCTTTTCACAGATGCTCTTCTTCGACGACGAAAGCCGCAACATTTACGACGTCAGCAAATTAGGTAACGGGGAGAAATGTGCCCGCTGCGTGTGACCCCCTCGCCCCTAGGCGGCGGAGGCTGCTGTCTGTGGGGCAAAGGGGGCGCCCGCCTCACTCTTGGGAGCTGCTGTAGGTCAGTGGAGACAAGCCTGAGCTAAGCGGACCCCAAGGCTGACTCTGAATGTCACCTTCCTATGAAGGGGGGGGCAGGGAGATGTGCAATCTATTTCCCCCCCTATTTCGCTTCCACGTAGGAGTCACATGTATCCTCGTCCCCAATGGCATGAACCTGTCCCTCCTGAAACAGGGCCTAGAAGCCTTCGCTCGCTCCTGAGTGCCGCCTGCGGCTGACGCAAACCGGACCTCTCTCGTCATGTGTGGAGTGTGCTGGTGGGGGCGGGATTTTGACCCCGTGCAATAAACCCTCTACGTGTTTCCCTGCCGCGCATCTTTTTACACGCGTGTTAACAGCCTGGACTTACCTGATACCTGTAGCGTTCCCAAAGCAAAGGAAGGATTGGACTCTGATTAATAAAATACAGTGGTACCTTGAGTTAAGTACTTAATTCATTCCGGAGGTCCGTACTTAACCTGAAACTGTTCTTAACCTGAAGCACCACTTTAGCTAATGGGGCCTCCCGCTGCTGCTGTACCGCCGGAGCCGATTTCTGTTCCATCCTGAAGCAAAGTTTCTTAACCTGAAGCACTATTTCTGGGTTAGCGGAGTCTGTAACCTGAAGCGTATGTAACCAGTGGTACCACTGTACAAGATGGCACATACTCAGAGCTACATTCATCTCAGAATTCATGGAGCCCAAATTACTCTTTGGACTAATCCAATCTTCCATGGTCAAACAGTGAGGCTTCCTGGCAATCCCAGCATCCTCCTTTTTAGGAATGATCCATAGACATTTACAGTGCACCTTGCTGAGCTTTTATAGCCACTTTCTATCCCCAAATTGGGACAGAAAGTGCATCATTTATTCCCTCGGTAACTCACCAACCCAGTCAGCTCCAGGAATCTCAGAATCCTTTCATCATCCGAAGACCCTATTGTGCAAGGAATTACATTCATGATAACAGGACTGTGGGGGGAAGGGTCACTCTGAAGATGGGTCAGCAGGGGACAGGGACCTCTTTGCACTTGGTTTGGCTGCTTTGATCATGCTTTAGAACAGGGGTGTCAAACTCAAATTCATCGGGGGCCGCATCAGCAGTTTGGTCACCCTCAAAGGGCCGGTTGTATCTGTAGGACTATGTGTCCACTCTTTATTATCATAAATTATTGTCACTGCATTCAATTATTACTGTTTTTTGTAATAATGTAAGTAATAACTAGCTCTGAAAGCAGAAACATAGTCAGAATAATGGCAAGTAGATATTCAAATGTACAATGCGCTCAATATAAAAACAAGTGCATGCGCTCAATAAAAACAATGCGCTCAATATAAAAACAAGTGGAGGTTTCCTTAATGCATGTAAAGTGGAGGTTTCCTGTGTAGAATGGCCGGCGCCGCTAGAGGGCAGACGTTCTCTGGGTTGTAGGCTGTCGCGCATGCGCTGAAGAGGCGGCTTTCTTGTGTCAAAAAAAAAGCGAGAATAAAAGGTGAAGGCTGGCGGCCGGCGGTGGCTACACGGGCCACATGACGAGGTCTGGCAGGCCGGATTTGGCCCGCGGGCCTTGTGTTTGACACCCGTGCTTTAGAAGATCTGGAAAGCTAATAGCTCAAACCTAAACATATCATGTGGAAGCCCATCCCAAGTTGTCAATAGGCTGTATCACCACATAATGTACATAACAATGGGAGGAAGCCAATTAACAGATGGACTTTCAAGCTCAGGTGGACATCTTCTGAGCTTACTCTAGAAGTCTATCTCCTATGGGAAGAACTTTTAGGAATAGTACTTTCATCCTCCTCTTTCTTCCTGAGACCAAGGAAGGCTTTTTCTGTCAGGTGACAGAAGGAAGGAGGTGGAGAAGAAATATTGTAGTTCTTTTGGTGGGAAGCTGTAGGTGGGAGATATGGGGGAGAAGAGACCATGACTCTTTTGCAGGTTTGGAAGCTCAGGAAGAAGATACTGTGGTCGTGGAGATGTTGGGTCACAAAGAGGGAAATTATGAGGAAGGAAAACGGAGGCAGGGATGAATAGCAGTCCTAAGGGAAACTGAGACTGGGAGCAGGAAGATGTTGTCATCTTGGAGAGGGAAGCTCCAAGGGAAACTGAGATGGGTGTTGGTGTGGGGGGCAAGCAGCAGGGCACTCCATAACATTGAGTGTCAACACTGGCAACAACAAAGAATCAGAGAGGAGGAAGATCACCTAATCCAGCCCCCTGCCAATGCAGGAAATTTTCTACTACAACATCGCTGACAGGTGACCATTCAGTATCTGCTTAAAAACCTTTAATAAACATAAACCAAACAGGTTTAATCAGCATTCCTCTTGGAATCTAAAACTATCTTTGAAACATTGTTGAAACATTTGGTAGCTGGAATCTACCAAACTATCTTTGAAACATGATTAAAACATTTGGTAGCATTGGATTTATATCACACCAACCCTTTAATTTAGGTATCCCAATATGAAGATGTAGGCAATTGGAGAAATCGAACATGCATCTATTGGAGGAACAACTTAATCCAAATAGGGGAGTTAGTAATCACTGAGACAGAAGCAAAGCAGAAGGCCTGACAACCTACAAAGTAATTGCGGGCTTCTATTTACCATATATTAATTTGGTTTATATTCAGATGATTTCCAGACTATCTGGAAGCAGAGAACAGATGCCTCTTTATGTTGCTTTATTTAGAGAACATGTCTCCCTAGGGGCTCCAGTTGGTCTGAGAACTTCATTTTCACTAATAAAGGCTAGTTTTACTTTCAGACGGCCCAAACAAAGTTAGCTTTCTCCACCACAGGGGCACCATTTGATCATCGCCAGGACTGCTTCACACATGCAAAGTACTCATTTGATCCCTGCTACATTAGAGGCTTGTCCTGCTTTCCCCTAGGAAAACCTTATTTTTACCGCCTTTTGCTCGATTCAGTGGTAAAGGGGGGGTTTTCTTGGGGAAAGCAAGCACGGCAGGGCAAAGAGAAAACCTCTGGGATCTGTGCCCAGAAAGCGTGGGACAAGCAGAAAACTGCTCGGATCAAGCTGAAGTTTGGGCAAGACCTAATGGGTGCATATAACCAACTGAAAGGTTCCTTTCCCTTCACAGCCTCCATGCCGAGTAAGCACACAAATGGACATTTTGCACCACTCCACATACCAAACACTCGCCTGCGATGAATATCTTGGTTCAGCTAAGTTTTGCAGGAAAACAGATAAAACTACTGAAAGACGACCCAGGCAAGCGCAATGCTGATTCATGCAGCGTGGACACACACACACACACACTGCAGAGAAGAGCAGAAGCACAGGAAAAGCCGAAGCAATCTGAGCCCATTTGGGCACAAGAGTTCCAGTGCATTTCCACTCACCCGAAACTGGATAGATTTCCTTCAGAGGGTATATCACCTAAATCAAATAAACCAGACACATACTCCAAATGAGAGTCTCCACCACAGTCGTTCAAAGATGGAAGCAGCCACAATACTCTCTCTGCTAAGAGCTTTCTAATAAACATTAATAGGCCTCCGGCCCCATGTATTGAATTAGGGCAGGCCATTTCCTGGCAATTCAGCTTGCAGCAATTGTAACAGGTATGTGTTTTTTTTATAGAATTGCCGCTGTTACCAAACTAGTCTGTGGGTGAGCAGAGGACCCCCCCCCCCCCCCGGAATCTGGCACCGAGGTCACTTACCTGTTCCCGCAGGGTCCCATCTGTGAAGAATGGCCGCTGTGGCAGGATAACTACCCCATGGGGGCCAAAGCAAGTCAGCATGTGGACATCCCCTGCAGAGACCAAGCAGAAGGAATCACAGAGATGTAAGTCTAAGATCCAACACTTTGGTAACAAACTTGAAATGAACACTTGGAATTGATCTAGTCTGCGCAATCATATCCTGGCCTAATAAATCAGAATATAAACC